AAACGTAATGGGCAAAGAAATTCAAAAGAAATTTGGTTTGCTGAGATCGGCTGGAATAGCATGTTTCCATGTTAGAAGGCAAACACCAATCAACTTTTTCTTATGCTCTTCTAGGCAAAAAAGAAAAAGCTGTGAACTTATGAACTTGCATACCCACAGGCATTCACATTTAGATATTGGGTAAATAGATGTTATGAGTACAGAAATATTTTGAAATGCCTGTTAGATATTAACTGGACAAACTTCATCATCTGTCATGGTAATAATATTTTTTATTCAAATTTGAAGTCAGCTTTTGGTGTCCAGTTGATTTGTATACTAGATGGCTGCCTCTTTGTTAATTCCTTTGTCTCATGTGCCTTTCCACCAAGGAAAAGTGCCAGGCATATGGGCACTACACCACAGCATATGGGATTTATGCCATGTATGTGCAGTGTGCTCTGGTTAAAAAAATATAACCTAGGCTTCAGAGCATCAACTATTTTTGTTACCTTCATCAGCCAATGCCTATTAAACTAACATTAATAGAAGAAAAAAGGGAGCTGGAAAGGCTTCGCTACAGCTATCAATGTATGAGTGTAGAGAGATAAAACAACAAGCTTTGGAAACATGAATGTCAGTGCTAAAAGAGATGTATTTTTAAAAATCTCAATAGGCAAAGTGAGTTTAGTCTGCATGTAGTGTTTAGAAAGCTTTTATTTCTTCATACAAATGATACTTGGTTTTATGTTTTTGCTTTAATGTGAAATTTACATGGCTAAAATCCAAAATGGGTAGATTACTTTTAATAGTCTTCATCATCTATAAATGTCATTAGTTCACTTTTTGTCACATTTTTCTTGATTGAAGGATATTTTACAAACCAAATCACTGCGATAGCCTTGCTGCAAAGTAATTTCTCTTGTGTGCTGGTAGAGTTATGAACTTGTTAAGAAGAGCATGTATTTAATTACTCTAAGTCAAGCGAGTTCATTATATGAACTCTCAAGTCGCAAATTGAACTTTAACAATATATCCCTTATGTAAAACTAGAAGCCTGACTGGCTTCACCAAATTTTCTTTAGTGGCCTTGATTATCATATGCATATATTTTTAATATTAAAAATGCTTTTTTTTCTGTACTGAGAGGAGAATGAAATTGATTTTTGACAGCTGGAATTGAAATACATTTAGAAATAATATATGCATAAAATTTATGATTTGGAAAATAAACATATTTGTTTAGGATTGTTCCTTTTGTTAGGTGAAAATTAAATATTCCCATGAATATATTTTCTCAGTTCTGCGTAAGTGCCAGATGCTTATTTTAAGTACTTGCATTTAAAACCTAAAATTAAAAATAGCTGAATTTCCACTAAGTGCTCCGATGTGGAGCTAAATAGAAGGCAATTATCTAGCTCAAAACCTGACCCTATTCATATTTCCTCATGTTTGTTTGTTTTTCAGTTGAATGGGAGAAATATGAGTACTGTGTTCATTATACTGTTTTAGTACTGTAATTGTGAGATCTACTAATACGGTAAGACATTAAGACATGGAATCAGCCCCCAGATTTCTGAAGCTGAGGGAGGCTGCACTGGAGCTGGGTTGCACAACAAAGCAACTTGAGTTTGTCTTCATGCACTGTATGAGATGGCCTTTTTATCTGAGCTCAAAATCATGTACCTGTGTTTTTGAATGGAGAATGTGTATTTAGGGGAGGAAATATGGCTAAATATTGGCTATTTTTCTTATTTTAACTGATCTGTTGTAAATAATTCAGGTTTGGTTTTTCAAACTGAATCAAGGTATTTCTCTGCCCTTTTCATGCAGTAGCTTTCAAATGATAGAGAGTTAAAAGCCTTAAAGGATACAGGGAATGGGACAGTGATAGGCAAGTGCTTTAGTCTAAATGTCTTGTCCATCTGTATACCTCAGAAAATCTGCTTAGTGGTTTCCTATTTTTACTTTGTGGGCTCCTTAGTAGTTATCTATGATTGCATCAGATAAGTGGTGCTTCTGAAAATATGATAAATGTTCAGATACACTCATTTGATCAGCCTTTGCAGACAAATGCATTGGAAAGACCAGGTTATGTGTAGAGATCTCTGCAAAGGCAGGACACAGTGTTGTAAGGCAGAATACTCTTCCTGAATTCTTGCTCTGCTTAGTTTGGAGCAGGTCCTTGAATCAAGCTTTCCCCAGCTCAGAAAATGTACAATGCTGGTAAATATTCAGTAACCCAATCTTGAAACTATTGCTTAAATAACTCTGTTTTTACTAGAACAAGAACCTGAACCCCTAGCTTTCACCTGCCATATACTGAAGTTACTGAACTATAATGAATGTCATGCCTGCCTTATTCAGTGATTATTTATTCTAAGAAGAAGGGACAAACATGGTAGGAGATAAAGTCGTCCAAGTCCACTCTACCTTGCAAATAATGAACTGGGAGGAAATTCCTGTATCAGCTTGAATGCTCAATGAGCAGTGAAGTTAGGTGAGGAAGTGAAGGAAGTGATTAACTGGCTGAGCAGCCAAACCATGGAGCTGTACAGCAATTAGGGGTGTGTTCAAGTTTGTCTCACATCCACTGTGCTGACTCTGGAGATTACTCTCCTTAGAGGAAGTCTGTGCATCCATTACTATAAAAGTTAACAAATCTGAGAAGTGAAATCAACGCTGACTTCTGTTACTCTCTTAGGTAAAGAAATGGCCTTTGGATTATGTAGTGAATGCCATATACCTAAAATACTGCCAAGAGCTCAGCTGTATTTCTAAACTAGATATAGCTAATTTTGTAGAATTTGCTCTGGGCTAACATTTTGCTTTGCTTTGCTAACAAGAGACTGTATTGAAAATCTGAATGGAAAGACATGTCTTTTACCCCCCATGAACAGCTGAAATGTTTCTAAGCTAACTAGTGAACTGTTGTAATACAATTGCCTTTCATGAAAGCAGTTATTTTTGCATTCATTCACTGATTTCTGATCTCCACTGGAAAATGTATTAATGACAATGTTTACTGCTGCTGGCTACTTGTGACCTGTTTTCTCATATTTTCTTCACCAGGAGGAGACTGCATGTATTTAACAGAGAGCTTTGTTTCTGACTCTCCTGGTATTTTAGCTACTGCTAGTAGTCCGCTGCAGCATCAGTGCTAAGTTCCCATTACTGGTCAAATGATGGAATGATGAAAGCACTGGGTCTAAAAATATTCTATACTTTTTACAACAACAAGAAACTTCAAGCAGCAGCTACTGTGGATCAACAAGGCTACCCAGAAGCTCATTTGGGTAAGCACCAACTCTGTACTATCACTTCAGAAACTCCAGCCGGGTATGTTTGAGTACACGTAGAATACGTAATTTAGCAGCCGTTCAGTCATGCGGTTTCTCCAATGTAAATTTTCATCCATGGGAGGACTTGGAGGATACCCATCCATCTCTGGGATTTGAGCCCAGAATATTACCTATGAAATCTAAATCTCGTCCTACTGCCTGCGTTATGTTAATGTGAACGAACAAGTTGCATAACATTTTGTTCAGATAGTATTACTAGGGCAAAATTAAAATTGCATGTGGAGAGAAACAACCTTGAACATGTGCAGGTTTTTTTCTTTTTTGATTAACATATTGCCCTGCTCCAAGATTTATTTATTTATCACTTTTCACCAGAAAAGCAATGAGAAGCTCAGAACTGTTCCAGTTGAAATGTTTGTTTAATCCACAAGATGCCTGCCTTGGAACATCTGTCACCATGATATACTTTCCAACTGCCTCTTGCAGATAGCCATATAATACATCCTCCTATTTTAAAAATGACTGTCCTCAAAAGGGATGAATCAATATGACTTGTGTGTTTCAAAAGCATTGGATAGGAAATATAATTTTCTATCATGATGGTGGTGTCAATGAACATCTTGAAGGTTTCTTTTGAGTTTTTTGACCAAATCCTATAAAAAACACATAGTTTTTCATGACCCATAGTCAATGGGTCATGAGACTTCTTTCTGAACTCAACAGTTGGACGTACAAATGAGAAGATGCATCCATAGTAGCTAACTAACCACACATGCAGTCTTAGCTCAGGATATTTAAGTTATCTAATCAACTTAAGCTGACTCAGGATGAAGGAAGTTTATAAACTCAATACTTTGTAAGTGGGAAATAATAGCTAGATTAAATGTACACAATAAAGAAGGAAAAAAAAGAACCTGGACGTTTCTGGTAACCAAAGAGTTCAGGGAAGAAGTGAAACTGAGTGGTGGGACTTATTTAAATGTTTCCTCATGTGGAAGTATAAGGAACTGTCTCTAATCTTTTCACATTGAAATCCACAGTAGGCTGGAACAGATTTTAGTCTTGCAGTACCACTGTGAAGTTATCTGTTGCTTTACTCCTGTTACCTAAAGTACTGCCAGGGCTGTGTAAATGAAACAGTTTAGCCACAGAACATCTCTTTAGTGTTGGATTGATAGCTGATTACAGGCTTGAAGTTATTAAAAAGGGAGGAATAGAAAATGTCACTGAACACTGTTGGCCCTGCATTCCTCAGGTTGTATTGCTTGAGCAGAAAGGGATGGAATTCTCTTTCATCCCAAGGAGAACACAGGTAAAGTGATTTGAATCATTTTATGTAAATTTGAACGTGAATGGATTTGCATTTCTTTCAAAGAAATTCTGTAAAAGCACAACACACTTCAAGACAAGAAAATATGGGAGAAGGAACTTGGGGAAATAACGAGAGGAATGAGACAAATAGGGGCATACCCAGAAGAGACTAAATCCTAAGAAAACCAGATACACTAACCTCATTCTGGTTTTAGTCCAAGCATGTGACACAAACTTTTGTGTAGGTTTCACGTAGAAAATTAATCTGAGAATGAGTTAAAAGCCCCAAGCTGCCCTACATGTAGGAGCCCCATCCAGTTCTCTAAACACATTTATCATATTCCTGAGTTTTCTCCAGATTCCTTGAATCATTGTTAATATCCTTCAACCCCCACAAAATCTTGTTACCTCATTATTAAGCCTGCTGATCTGCTGTTTGGTCTCTTCTGCTTTGATAACGAGCACAGCAGCACCAATTTCAGCCTCTGAAAAGAATTCGAATTCATGTAAATGACAAGAGTATAATCACTTAGAAATGATCATACTGTTCTTGCACTACACCAATCCTTTAAATTTAAACCTGTTTTGCAGTTGGCTAGAATGAAAATTAAACCATGTATTTAATGTTCATTTTATAATGTTTGAGAGAAGTGCATTTAATAAAGTCCATACTGCTCTCTTCACTCTGGACCTGAAAGGAATGAAAATGACAACCTTGGTGCCATCCACATGATAGCTTGACACTTTTAAAAACCATAAATATGACTAAACTTAAATTATTATTTTCCTGCTTGGCTTTCAGAGAAACAATATACATCCTAGTTGCCCCCATGATAAAGGCATTTAGCTATGTGGGAGCTGTTTACTTTTGAAAGAGGGGATGCTGGAAACAGTTCCTCTGTCTATTTTTAAAATTCGTTTCCCCCCCATCTTGACAAATTCTATTGCTTTATGGTGCTGCTTCACCAACCTTTTCAGTTGTAGGTCATTTATTACTTCCTAAAACCCCTTGTAGATCAAGGTTTTCACTCTTTTAAAAATCTATATAGTTCCATACTCCTCCTCTTCTCTAAATATCTTTAAAAATATTGAGAGCCAGGTTTACATATGGCTCTTAATTAATTGGGTAGGTTTTTTGTTTGGTTGTTTTGTTTTGTTTCTTTTGTTGGTTTTTTTTTTTTGTTTTCTTCTTATTTATGGCTTGTTTTTTTCCCAGTTTTTACATTCAGTTTTGTCCTTGTGTTTAGCACCTTCCATGACCAAAGGTTTGGGAGCATGAGGCAGATTGTACAATTCTTCTGGTAAAGCATAATGCATGAAAAACCAGTTCCTTCCACAAACTGTTTTATCACGACTGTCTGTTAGCACAAAAACAACAAATGGCCTTTGGGACCTTGTTGTGTTTTTTTTACAATTATGGCACTGAAATGGTACTGAGAGTACAAATATACGTTTAATCCATTTCTGCCACTAGTGAGGATGAAAGAAATAAAGGGGAACAAAAAGCAGTTATGAAAACTGTTTCCTCTAAAAGGTGATTTTCCCAGGCGATGCTCACCTCCAGTTGTAGGAGATAACCTGGATTCCTGCCTGAGCTGATCAGAGCTGAAGTCAAAGGTTTGGCTTTCTTCGTTATGGTTTCCATCCTCAATCCCATCGACAATTCTGTTGAGAAAAATTGGAGTAATGGAGCAGTTTCATAAACATCATGTCCATAATGATGTTGTAATAATTACTCCTAAAGGGCATATTTTTAAACAACGGTAAATTTTTCACAACATTAAGTATAGAGAAAAGCAGAACCTATTATATTAGCATAACTTCTTGTGAGTCACTAAAAATGAAAATTACTGATAATGGAAGGAATGCCAGGCCAAGTGTAATTAACTGAGATTTCAAAATTTTCATGACTTTCACAGCATATTCTAGGTCCAGTCCAAAACTACATGGACTATATTTTGCCTTTCATATTTACAGTAATCTGTTGCAATTCTTCTGCAACAGAGGCTTCATTATGCTCTTGTCCAACTAAAATCTCCTTGCCCATAAGTGGGCTCTTATATTAGGTTTACTTAGGCAGAGCCTAAGCCTGAACATAATATCTTTATGAAAACATCTCTGTAAACTTCAGTCAAAAGTATCATTTCCATGCAAATAGTTATTCTAAATTTCTTTAAAATGAACTAGTTCGGCCAGGGAAATCTTGTTTACGAATTTCATATAGGAAGATGCACAGACCAGTCTCCAGTGTCCCAGTTACATTAATAATGGTATTGGATCTGACTATTAGAAAATATTTTTTTGCCAGTTATTTCTACCCGTTCATAGCAGTTATCTGTAATTTGTAGTGTCAAGAAAGCCAAAGGGAAAAAATAAGGAGCAGTATTTTATACAATAATCAATTTCTGCATTCAAAGAATAGATAACAGGTATTGGAGGAATCAATACACAGTATTAAAAATATATATAATGATGACTTAATAATTTTCTGCTCTCAGCTAAAATAAATTGTGCTATAAAGAGAACTATATTAAAGTCAATAAAAGAGAATCATACAACTGTCAGTTGACTGATATGAAGCATCAATTTCTTGTTTTGTCCAGGAACAAGCTTCATATTCTGTCCTACAGCAGACAGATGAGTTAAATATAATCTGGAAGGGCTAAGATAAAAAATTCTTAGCCTCTCAGTCCTTTGGGATAAATTTGTGATGATGGACATTATACTTTTCATCTAATAAAGATATTATCAGGAAAGCTTCTTGAATGGAAATGCCTGGAGAAAAAGAACAAACAACACAGAGATATCTGTGATGTATTGGGCTTGAAAGATCCATGTAACTCAGACCTCTGTATGAATACCATGTTTTTTCATCTTTTTTGGCTCTTCCTGTGGATTTAGATCTCCATGTCACGTCTGAGTGTTGATGATGCCAGCTGGATGTTACTAGACTTGACTCTAATCTTAATCAGCCTCTGGTAGAAGAGGAGACTCAAATGTGGTGCTTGAGCAGCCCTGGCCTATACTGCTGTCTGCAGCTGAAAACCAGAACGATTACTTTGTTGGAAATTTGCTATAAAACCCGTTTATTGTCATTTGGCCTCACTGCTTCAAAAGGCAAATTTTAAACATCAATATCACTTTTGTAGAGGTTTCTAATTATATAAAATGCTAACATTATAGCTGCCTTTAAAGCACACAGGAGAAAGCTTACTCAGATGTGACTTGGAATTTATGCATGCTACATTCTTTATAGTGTTTTAAGATTCAGTCTAAAAGGAAATTGTATTAGCACAAATACCTAGTCAGGAGTGCCAGGCTTCTCTGTGGAAAATATATAATGTGCAATATGCTTATTCATATACAATGATCTGGCTGAGGAACTGCATAACCTAGTAAATTGAAAACATGAGGGGACAAAGGTAATTGGTAAGCCTCATCCCTCTCTGAATCAGCTATTGTAAGCCATGAATTTTCTCCTGAAGAAAGAAAACTCCACTCTTAGCAGCCAAAAAAGAGAGAAAAGATTAACATGTGACCTCTTCTATCCAGTTGCTTAGGGCTAGAGTGCACTCCTCTGTGCAGGTCTAAGGAGATTCAATTACATAAAACCTCCTCCTAGGGCTGCCTTTATTATCACTTACATTTTCTTCCTTTTGGTGCTTTTCCACTTCACAGGCAGAACCCAAAAAGCAATTGGGAAGACCAGGGCTGTATTCTAGAAACTACAAATCTAGCTTCGGTTCCTTGCTCAAAGAGCTCTTTAAAAATTTGACCCAGTCTCTGGGCATTATTGCTTTCACTGTGGGGTACAAAGACAGAACCTGAAGCACCTGTAATGAATTCTAATTAGTTTCCTCTAGGAAATATCCACAGCAGAAGTTTCTTAAGAAACTGTGGTTATACACCTCAGACAGCACTGACTGGATATTTCAATCAGAGTCTTGACTTTCCCTTGCCTTCCTTGGCGAACATTTACCAAATGTAAATGAAAATTTTAATTAAGCTCTTATAAATTTTAATTAGAGTCTCATTTTCTCCTTAATGCTTACAAGGAAACACTTAAGACTATTTTTTAAAGTGGTATTAACTTGTCAGTTTAAATATTCTAATAATATAAACTCCTTCTAGGACATAACATGAAAATGTTTTGTCTGGAAAAAAAAAGGCTGAGAAACATGCATCTTGGTCCAGTTTTCCAGCCTATTAACAGGATTAGCCTACAATTATAAAATTATTAATGGAAACAGCAAATAATATATTCAAACATATATTTTCATATTTCCTTTGGCAGCCTTAGATGCCAACGTCTGGCTGCATAAGTTCAGAGCAAAAATGAGCAAGACTACATTTCAGCAGAAAACATAAAATGTAGTTTTTCCCTGAATTACCACTTATTTTGTGAATGATAATGACCTTTACTCATAGCTGACTGAAATAAATTCCTATGAGATCTAGAAAAACAAATGAGAAAATATCACATAGTGCTATGGTTTTGTTGGCATAGTGCTGTTTCGTCAAAGGTTGGACCTGATCTTGGAGGTATTTTCCAACCTAAATGGCTTTGTGATTTCTATGATTTTATGAAAAAGTTAATTGTTTTGTATCCAGGTACTAGTTCAAACGTGTCTGTTCATACTGTTAAAATATATCATGAGGGGGAAAGGGTTCTGTGTAATCTTCCATGTCATTTTTATAATAGCATGTCTAGGAACTCGTGCTTTGACAGAGTTAAACAAATATTGTTCAAGCTGTGGGTACTTCACATTTGCAATGGCAAGTTCGTGAAACTTCTACTCTGCCTCTAATGAATAAAGGAAGCGCTGGAACCTGTAAACCACTTCAATTTATAGAAGACAAAGCTTGAACTGGAAGATGAGTTACTGCATCTCCTTGTACATATGCTTGTCTTTTCCCTAAAGAGCTGGTATTAAAACTAGGATTGCACTGCAGCAATTTAGCAGCAGGTTATATAAATCACTTGTAAGTAGAGTACAAATTAAAAAATGGAAATATGTAAATTTTACACTAGTAATACCTCAATAAACTGTCATACAATGCTTCTTTGTGTTAAAAGACACAGCAAAATAGATTTGCTAAACTCTGTATTTAATGTCTGTATAACTTCCATTATCAGATTTCCTGTCTCCTATTAAAAAACCCTCTAAATATTTTTCAAAATTGCTTAGCAATTGTTTTCCATTATAGTTCTGTACTACAGTATTTTTTTTTTGTATTTTCTTGGCTATGCTATCGTTTCATTCACTTGCTTTCTAAATTTTTCTACCTCTGATGGACTCAGAATGTTTCATAGTGCTATTGCAGAAATGAATATTATAGACAAAATGATACCATAAGGCCAGACTATTTAAATAGCCGTTTTTGCAGTTGCTCACTTTTTTTACTGCCCTTTTTGTGGGTAAAAATACTTTGGTTTGCAATAAATTTCTAAAGCTATAAACTTCTGCATAGTATGCAATGGTTCCTACTATAATGTGGGATGAACATAAGTATAAAGTATTAAAGAATAACTCTTATAGTGACAAAATAATGGTATTTTTAATAGGAGTCACATTATAGATAGGAGAATGACCATTCATAACTATTACCTTGGGCTCAGATCAGGTGGGCCGCTGGCAGTCAGCGCTGACAGGTACAATTTAAGGTTTTTATCCTTCCTTTTGGAGTAGTAATGGATCTCTGTTTCATGTTTGGCTCGTGAGGGGTTGGAACTGCAAGCACGGATGGGGGAATGGAAGGGTACAGTTCCTGAGGCCAGCTGCTTCAAGTTTCTCCCTAGGTGGCTTTTGCTGCTTGCAGTCTTCTTCTGCTGAGAGCTATTTGTGCTTCGTGTATCAATTGGTGAAAGGCTGCTGCTTTCTTCTTCTCCCTCCTCTTCCTCATCTTCATCTTCCACAATTGAAGGGAGTCTCTTTTTTATATTGCCATTTCCCTTGAGCTCTGTCTAAAATAACAAATAATACGTAGTACTATTTGTAATATGTGTAAAATTCAGAGCCTGATATTGCAGAAACCCATTTTTTTCTGCTGTTCATTCTGGAACAAATCCAGACCTAACACAGCTTTCATTTCTCATTAGAGAGAGCGTTTTGGAACGTATCCATACCTTCAGCTATGGCTGTATGTGCAGATATAAGAAAAATACAAATTAAAAAAGGTCACTTGTGATGCGGTCAGCAAACCCACTGCAATGTTTTCTTACCAAGAAAGAGTACACAACTAATTCTTACAAGCCATATGCGATATGTACACTTGAGAAGATTAATTTTGTTTAGCTGAGACATTATTTCTTGAATGTTATGCTACCAGAATCTTGGTGGTCCACAGAAGAGATCTGAGGCTGGTTATTCAAATAACACCACTTTTTCACATGGAACTTTTTATCATGTATAAATGGCATTTACATCAGTTAGCTCAAGCCCAATGGTTTCTAAGTTTTTGTAACTGAAGTAATTGCTGGGATGGTAGACAGACTTTTCTGTTCACTCCAAGTCCCGTTAATGCACCAATAGTGTGATGGTTTCAGCTTCAGAGCTGAGTCATCAGAAAGCAGAGTTCTGTCTGGTTTTGAAAAAAAATGCAATTTAGATGCTTGATGTTGGAATCATGGAAATTTAGAGCCAACATAGACCTGTGCTCTATAATTTATGTATTAATTAAAGCACAATGTAGGTGATCAATGGTTTTTTTGGAGTAACAAAGTATGCTGATCATGAGTGCTGACGCGTGCCAACATAGACAAGATTAGACCTTAACTCAGAAATTGTTCCATTTATTCCCATGGTACAACTTTCTGTATTGGTAGTAGGTGAATGGCCTATGGCAGACTCAGGTTCTAGGTCAAATTAACAAACCAAATGCAACTTCATGGTTTCAAAGTGAGTTGTTGTTTTTAATTTTTTTTTTTACAGGCTAGTCTTCTTAATCAAGCTTGATTAAGGCACTGTTAGCTTTAGATAGAAAACCTCAGATGACCCTGCATAGTCAAAAATCCCACATTCAGGCCAAGTGAGATTGGCTGTGTGAAAATACAGATTTGGGGAATTTATCCAAATATTCTAAGCCCCTATTAGCATCTGTCTAAATGTTCTGCAGCATAGGTTTAATTCTGCTACAACACACTTTGGTTGAATGTACGTTTTTCTCTTGGTGTGTGTTGACAGATTTAGTAGTATCTTTTAATTTGAGGTATATATGAAGAGGTAAGAATTCCAAGTTGTGACAGAAGGCATGTCTTTATAAAATAGAAAAGCCTTGTTGTCAACTGTAGTAGTCATTCAAAGTTTGTAATGATGATTAAATTGTACAGGACCTGGCACTGATACTGCCTATACTCTACAGAGAACAAATTTTACCCATTTTCAAAACTCTGGCTTGGGTAGCCATGTATCTAAAATGTATAGGAGGATATTCAAATTTAGCACCTGGGAAAAAATGATCAAAAGCTGTTACTCATAAAATGGGCAGTGGCAGAACTATCTGCAGGATGCTGTTTGAATTCTCATTCTGAAAAAAAATTGAAGTCTGTTTTCAAGAAGGAAAGGAAGGAGTTTGTTCTGGTTATAATTATGTGCATGTTCAAAGTGAAGCTTGGCATAATTAAAATGTGATCAACATACCTGGGATAGTGTAGGCTTGTTGGATAATTTTGATATTACCTGCAAAAAACAAACCAAAGAGGTAGGAAGTATGTACATCTGTGCAGTTTGGATTCCAACGGGATACAAACATCTAAACAAAAACATTTATGTCAATACAAGAAAAGACACTCATAATGAAATGGCTGTATTAAATTAAATGATGACATAACACTGAACTAAGGATAATCCTTGCAAACAGGTGGTGTGAGAGTAAAAAAACACGTTGTTTCATCTTAAATAAAAAGCGAGGTAATAAAAAATAAATTATTTTACTTTAATAAAAAGTAAATCAAGACTCCAAACCTGCAAATAAATGTAGATGTATGAAAGCATGGCTGGTAGATTTCAGTGCTGGTTTGGTGGAAGTGCAGGAACAAGTGCTCTACTTTGGCCCTGCTTAGCTTTAACTCCTGTGCCAGCCTAGTTTGTATGAGAAGATGAACTAAGTGTCTTCAGCATCTTTGAGGAATTTACAAAAGCAGTGGTGGGACTGAAGCAAGTAGGATTAAATGTAGAAATACTAATAACTGCCAAACAGAACAACTGCAATAATGAGGCTATGTAAACAAAATAACTGCTGTGTTCTTACTGAGTTAGGTAGAGTACTAGTGATATTAGCAGAGAATGAGATGTCAGATACTGAAATCTCATAAGTGGCATTTTAATCTATGTCAACTGAAAAATCAATATCTTCAAGATTAAGGATGAGAGGAAACTAGAAATTTGCTAAAATATTAAAGTCAGGATTAGGAAGTACTACTGGCCTTCTTTGCACATATGCTTAAAATATTAGTTAAAAATTGTGCCCAGGATTTTGGGACATCAGTTTGCTTGGCTTCTAGGCACATCAGGAATGTTAAATAGCAGCCTTAATTAAAATTCCAGGCAAATCCAAAATATTAGCAGTTTCACAAAAAAACATCTCAGAAAGTATGCATTTTCCTGCTGAAGGCTTTAGAAGTGACATGTCACTTGTAATTCCTAAAGTGGGCGAAGATTTCTCTCACTTTTTTTTCAATGTTGCTGTTTTTCCCTCCTGAATACTTGTTAATCCTGACTGTACACCTTGAAAACACAGACAAAAAAATCATTATGTGGGTTTTAAGCTGCATGACCAGTTGCTAGCACTGTGCCCTTGCTCCTGGACCTCCATGCTGGTCCTCAGCACAGGAGCCACAGCCACTCATCGATCCCACTCTGCTCTGTGTCACCCTGCCTTGGTCACTGCAGCGGGGGGAAGCTGGCTGCACAGCAAATGGGGTCACTGGCAGCGCTTGGTTGCCTTGTGACCTTCCCAAGAGAAGGGTAAAGGAATTTTTGAAGGCAGGTTGCTTTTTGCAAGGAGAGGAGGGAGTGTTCTCAGGAGGCCATGTAGCAGAAAAGAGTAAGTACGAACACAGAGCCCATGATGTGAGAGGCTGCTTATCAGACTTCTCCTGCTCCCCCAAACAACCTCCTTTAATCCACTGGGGACTATTTATTCTAAAATATCTATATTTTCAGACTGAAACTATGGAACAATAAACTATGGACCAATAAGCTACCTTTCCTATGGAATAAACTCCACAGTAAAAAGCCTTTTAATTGCTTCTGTATAGATACACAGCAGCCATACTCATTGCCTGTCCTGCACACACAACAGGGGCCTGGGCTCTATGGCTTAGTAGCTGAAAGCTGGCAAAAGAAACTAATCTGTGCCCAGAGAGAATTCTCAAGGATTTTGCTTCTAAACTTGTTCCAGCACCTCCTCTCTGTCTCTCCCTTCAGTCTCAAAGAGAAAAGATGAAAAAGAACTTGGACAAAGCCAGTCAAAGTGCAGTAAATTAGAAGCCCTCATTAGGCACACAGCTTTATCTTTGTAAAAATGTAGTATCAGAGTAAATAATTAGGAGGTATTGCCCTAGTTTCTAGGACACTAAAACCTTTTATTTAGGGCAACACACTAGTGCAGTCTTCTATGAAATGCTCTATTTTTTCCTTATGCCAAGAGTGTGCCAAATACCTCATACGCCTGCCTTTTAAAAGAAGTACAACTCTTAAAGGATAAGGGCTGCTGGAGGAAAAACCACAAATATTTAACTTACTATGCATCGAGAAAAAAACAGAAAGGTTGATGTTAGCATGACTAATGTGAAATACAGGCAAAGAGCCGAAGTAAAATATGATTTCAGCCCTGGTTTCTCTTTATGTCCTGTGAAACCAGCTACAAAATTTAATTTTACAAGACAAAACAATAATAGATCATGTATCAAAAGCAGACTCATAAAATTCTTCCATGTATGGAATCACAAATCTAGAATCTTCCAAATTTTTAATATCTTAATACAAAGATTTTAAAATTTCAGTAATCCTTAACATTGCTTATTACAAGCACAAAAAGAACATTTCTCCATCTGAAAACACAAGTGGTTTGCTGTTGAAAGCAGTGGTCTGAAAATTTTTTCAGTGTCAAGAGGCAGTAGTCATTTGTAAAGAATCTCTACCAGGAACTGGGACCAGCTCAGGTAATTAGCTATACAATGATTGAAGAAGAATTCCAATAATAAAACGCTATAGAGAAAAATATAGAGACATAGCTAAATTGGAGGCCAATTCATTATATGTCCAGTCAGTAAGTTTGCATGCTGGGGCTCAATAGAATGTTACCAGTGTTTGCTGGTCTGAATCTTGTTGCCTTCACAAATAGTAGGAATAAAAATAAAAACATAATTTCACTTATTTTATTGTAATCTTTGGTACTAAAACACATGAATAATTCTTTATACTGAGGAGTCAAAAGGATAAAATACATTTTCAGGAAAGGATTTGAAATCAAATGAAACTGGAGTATCAGTGTTCTTGGTCAGCATGCAGAAATGGTCAAAACCCATTTAGTAGCACTGGCAGGGTGGGCAAAAGCCCCAAGAATGCAGGCCAGATGTTCTATTCTTTGCAAATTTACTGTATGGTAATGGAAAATATACAAGCACAGAACAGGAGATTATGGTACTGCTGCAAAACTTAATGCCTCACATGCGCTCAGGCCTCAGTTTTCTGGAATTAGGAAATTTTAAATGAAATATCACAAGTCCTCTAAATCACAAAAGACTTAATCACTCAGAAAGGACTTGTTAGATATAATTGTTTTATACTGAGCAATTTGCCGTCCCCATCCCCTTTGTGTTTTTATTTTTTTGTTTTCTTTTTAAGACTTTCTATTGTTCATTGACTTGTTTCTGTATTTTCACAGGGTTATTCTTATCTCTCTTAATGGACAGATAAAGACAGAGTATTTTGTGGAAGAAGGCATTTCCAGCATTCTCATAATGCAGACTACATTGAATAGGCAGCAAAAGTTGAACAGCAGATCTGTCACAGGTGTTTTGTCCTGGGGAGACAGTAATTGTGAATTGCCATGAGCTCTGCAATCTCCTGTTAAGTTGCTGTCCTGAGAGTTTTGCTTCTTTGTAATTAACTTGTGAAGTTGGTACAAATGTTCTGTAACTGACTGCTTGTGGTTAGCTCTGGATAGTTTGGATAGTTTTCAGTTTTTTTGCAATTGAATAGTTTCTTGGTTACAAAATTCTCACATGAGCTTTTATATTTGGTATTCAAGTTTACTTTTCATATATTTCTTTAAAACGTGAATGTTAACCTCACTGCATTCATTTTTTTTAAAATTATACTTTAATTATTTCATTAGCAATACAGGATATATTGCATTTCTTATTAAAAAAGATTATAAAGAAAGCCAAAGCTAATATTTCTGCCACTTTTGCCACATTAAGAATAAATAAATGGGAAATGTGGATTGTATAATTACTATTTTTTACTTTTTTTCTATATGCTTACATCCCTTTTCTGCACCCCAAAGCAGAAGAACAAATTAGGGTCTCAGCTGCTCTAAAAATGCATCTTTCACAGTAATACTGTAGCTCTGTAGCAGTAAGAATGAAAAAAAAAAAAAAAGAAAAAAAAAAGAAAAAGAACAGTCTATCAATAAGATGAAAAGAAAACAAAAGAAGGAATTGTTAAAACAGACAATAGACCTGGCACTGACTGTACTGTCTGGCAGGTTGTATTTTTGGAAAAGCTTTCAGATTACTGCAGAAAAAAGATATGGTTGAGAAAGCTTGTTAATACTCCTACAGTTTGATTACAGTCAAGTAAAGACTTACATAATAGAAACTACAATAAAGGCTAACACCTTCCAAAGCAATAAAACTTATATGCTTAACTTCAAGCAGCTCTAAAGTTTTAAACACAAATATTTGCATGATTGGCCCTGGATTGATATTCTGCTAGACTCCTCAATTTGAGGCTGTAGATACAGTGAAGGAGTTGTGTTTTATTGTTAGCTTTATCTTTAAATGAAACTTCATACTAGTATTTCTGTAAATTTGTATATCTAACTTCAGACAGTGTCTTGAAAAGAATAGAGTGGGACAATGAAGTGGATATTTCAGAATAATCTCCCGTTTAAATTATTACTGCCAATTGCCTATTTGTACATATCACCAGAGCTGGCCAGGTGTTTTGTTAGCACTCACAGCTCAAATGAGTGAATGAGTGCTAGCAAGGTCCTCCCCGACGACTGCAGTATATCCGTGGAGAATTTTTAAGAAAATTGCTTGAATTCTTTGAATTAGCATGACATAAAAAGAAACACAGTAATAGAAATCCAGTATCAGTTTTGGACAATGGTGGAATGAACAGTGAACATAGTGTGATTAACAATGGACTCTGCCTCTGAACACTTGTTATCTATGCAGTGCTGTACTGTATATACAGTATATATGTATAAAATGTATGCACATATTTATTATTAAAATCATGTTATTATTTGCTATTGTTTGAATTCTCTGAATATTTTCAGTGATATGGTAAACAATGACAGGATCATAATAATATAATGTAATTTATGTCTTGGATATCAGATCTATTTTCAGCATAACTGCATTTGCACTTATGTAGGCCAGTTTTGTAACTCTGGTTTTACTGGATAGAAATAAAGATGATTAAAAAAAAAATATGCAGAT